ATTAACGGGTGCTCACTCTGCTTCGCTGCATCCCACCCTTGAATTCATTAAAGTCTTGAAATAAAGATCAGAAAATAGATATAGAAATTATTAAAAGAGCACTCAAAATTCCTGCAATGGCTACTGCTAAGAATGCAAGTGTTGAAGGATCTTTGATAGTTGAGAAAATTCTGTGGAGTTCCTCAGAAGTTGGTTATGATGCTATGCTCCAAGATTTTGTGGAAAAAGCAATCATTGATCAAGCATAGGTTGTAAGAACTGCATTACTGGGTGCTGCTGGGGTGGTCTCCTTTCTAACTACAGCACAAGTTGTAGTGACTGAAATTCCTAAAGAAAAGGACCCTGGAATAGGTGCAATGGGGGAATGTGAGGGAGAATGGGAGGTGGCATGTTCTAATTCCTAGAATAGCGCTTTACCCTTATCAATGAACTGTGACAGGAAGCTCAAGGGCCAGGTTCCTCATTGATAACTTCAGAAGTCACCTAAAGGAAAAGACTGAAGAGAAGTCTGGCTGGTCACTATAACCATTACTTACTGATTTTCATTGACAATATATAATGGTTTACTGCTGTCATTGTCCATGCCTACAGATAATTTATTTTGTATTTTTGAATAAAGACATTTGTACATTCTTGATACTGGGTGTAAGATCCATATACCAGTGTCCTGCTTTCAACTTAAAGCACTGTTACAGCCAGGACTGTAGCCCTTGTGCCACCAGAAGAGAAGTTCAGAAGCAGCCTTTCTGAGGAGTGAGAATAACTGTGTACAAAGTAAAGAAGTATCCAATTATGTGACAACTTTGTCTAATAAAATTTGGTTTAAAGATTTAAAAAAAGGCATTAACGGGTGCTTAGGCCAAACAAATAGCCATGGTTGTAGTTCTTTAGTGTCCAGAAGTAGTATAACTATAAATTATAATAATGTACCAATCACTACACATCATCATCATCATCATCATTATCATCATCATAATGTGCCTCAAACACATGAAAGAAGATGCACCTTTCGGGTTCCTGGAAGATTTCATAAGACAGTCACTCATACCTGAATTAAACACTTAAATATCAAAGTTTTCAAAATAAAACAAGAATTACAATTGCATATAAAAGAAAAACAATTTCTGTAGACCCACAAAAACATTTCAGAACACAATGTGTTTAAGGAATTTAAGTTCAACAATGCTACTTTGGGGGCGTGGCTGGAAAGGGCAGTGTCTAGTAATGGGAGAAGAGAATAAATGAAACAAAGAAACTAAAGGCAGGAAATATTCTTTAGAGGGATATGTATGGTTGATAATATATATGCATATACACAGACACACACATATGACACAAATGTCTGTGGAAACAAATAGGTAATTAAAGAAAAGTAGTATCTTGTTTTTCTGGCACGGTAGACAGGCCTTAATTTAAGATATGCATATCATGGAGGTGGAGATGTGCAACAAATGCATGATAGCACACAAAAAAATTAACACTGGAAATTTAGTAGTGAGAACATGGATGAGATTTCCAAGGAAGTGGTGGGAATAAGACTATAGAATAATGCTAGAAAATTTAATTGCCTTTCCTATTTTACATAATCAAAACGGAGAACATATGAGAAAAAAAGAGCTGCAAATTTATTTTGATTTTACAGTGACATTATTGATCTGAGTAAGGTTTCCATCTCTGAAGACTGCTGAGGTACATGATTCATTGTCACATATATCCGTCTGGGGTAGTCTTTCTCTTGTCTTACTGTCATGTTTCATCTCCAGCCTCCCATAAGACCCTCAGCATTACCCAGAAACCCTAGAGTTCCCTCAGTACAATAGGATAGTTCTGCAGGTCAGAGTTCCCTTCTCCCAAAACACATTCCATGTTTTAAAGTATACAAAATAAAGCATTGTTTCCATCTCGAAAATGACAATTCTAAATTTAGGGACAATGAGCCATTCCTAAAGTCCCTAAACAAGTGCAAGACAGGAATGGCCACTAGATGGCAACAAGGCTTTTAACTCATTCTGCCTGAGGATGGGTTAGCAAGTGTTAAAACCCTTTCCCCTCTTCTTCTTCTCAATGAGATCACAAAGAAAAGCAGCAAACTTTGAGTACTATTTAAGGAAGTTTTATTTTCATAATTTGCAACGTCTGAAAACATAACAGGTATGTATGTTTGTTAATTTGTTTGAAAACTTTGTAGGAACATTGAAGGATTTTGGGTTTTGGTAGTTTTGTGTGTTGAACGAACAGCCTCAAACACACTAGACAGTAGTGTAGTACTACTACACAGTAGTGTAGTAGTACTAGTGCTCTACTACTAAGCAACATTTTGAACCCAGGATTTGGAGATGTAAAGATCTGTTCTTCCTTATTTTATATACATGAGTGTTTTGTCTGTATATCAGTATGTGCTCCATGTGCATGCCTAGTGCCCATGGAAGCCAGAACCAGAGATGGCATTAAATACCCTGGAACTGGAGTTCCAGGTGGTAGTGAGGTATCACATGGCTGCTAGAAACAACAAATCCTCTCAACTACTAAGCCATCTCATCCAGACCAGTTTTGGAAATGTTGAATCCATCATCATAATATTTAGAGTCATGAAGTTCAGTAACTGGCTTAACCAACATTTCACAGCAACACTGATGTAGTGGCAGAAATGCCACATGAAGGCCATTTCGAGGCGTAACTGAGCTACAAAAGCTATGTCTGAGCCTGACCTAGAATATATATATAGTGAAACTCTTGTCTCAAGAAACAGTATTTTATAACTGAATAAGGATAATAAAAAGACTATAACCAGTTTCTCACTTTAGGACTATAATTTTTTTCTTCAAACTTTAAACCAGTAATAGAAGTGCTATAATTTTTCTTCTAGAAAAAGCAGTTAATTTCAATTTCTGTGGAAACGCTTTTTTGTCCTATGAGAAAAGATACACACACACACACACGGAGCTATACAATATTTTTTTCTGGAACATCTATAACTACAATATTTTTTTTTCTGGAATATCTATACCAAGTATACAGGGATATCTTCAATAAAAAACTTTTTAGCTATCAAAGGCAATTAGGTTCATTCCAATATGAATGAGCCATAACAAGAAGGAAAATTACATTGAAGTATAACAGATTGCACCGAGGACAAATACAACTACAGTGATATATCAAGATATTAAGAAAATAGAGTCCTTAACCAAATAACCCTCCCCCCAAGAATAGCCAGATTGGTCAGAAATTTAAAAATAGCTATTCAAATAAAGCTTTAGATTAAGCAACATTAAGATTATTTCCTTTCCAAATTCTATCAAAAGAAACCTTATATATTATAGAAATATTTAAAAATTTAGAGCCAGGCACAGAGACACACATCTTTAATCTTAACACTTAGAAAGAGGAAGTAATTGGGTCAGAGTTCAAGGCCATTCAGGGTTATATAAATATGAGTTGAAAACCTAAACTATATATAGCTCTTTCACCCTGTCAAAACATACCTTAAAGTCATTCAGGCCTTCTCATCAGCAGACACAACAGACTGTGTTCAACCACAAAACTGATGAAGAAAGTATGACATATATGCACATAGACTACCATGAAGGTGAGTAGAAAAGGAGGTGGGAGGATCTGGGAGTTTGGGAAGTGGAAAGAACAGCACCAAAATATAGTATATGAAAAAAAATCTAATAAAAAAGAAGTTATAAAAACTAATAAATATCATGTTGTTCAATGTTGTGATGCCATGATGAACCTGAAGGCGGTCAAGTTAAATAAGCCAGGCACAGAAGACAAAGATCACACTACTTCACTTATATATAGAAACTAAAATACAGACTTTGCAATTAGATGGTAAGAATAAGCTCAAAGGATTTATTAAACAACTTGATGAATGTAATAACAGTTCAGTATCTTCTTTAAAATTACTAAGAGATTTTAAGTGTTCCTACCACAAAAAGTGACACAAGACATTAGCTAATTAGTCTTTCTACAATGTTATATATAGTTCAAAATAATTTATTGGATATAATTTTATACACCAATTATTAAATAATTTAAAATATACAACATTTAATTAATGAAAAATTATGATTACACAAATGTATAAGTAAAAGAAGGAAAAAATGGACTACACTGACTATATTTACTAAACTGAATCAATCCCACGGCTTATACACAAAATTATTATTTCAACAAAACATTTTATTTTGAAAGTCTGTATTAATTCGAAAAGAGTCCTATTTCTTTACCACCAGACATAAAGGGAACCAGTCACACCCTAACTTTAGTCAGAGAAGCTCCATCTTTCTCTATCTTACACACTGAACTTCCTCACAACTGCTTGCTTAAATAGTTCAAGGGAGTTGGAAAAAAAGATATAAGTAAACAAAAACAAAAAAGGTGAAGTTTGAAATAATAAAGCAAAGTTTTAGAATTTATATGTACTATTTATAAAGCATATACCAAATTTTACTATTAAATACACAATTAAGAACCTTAATGTCAAAACCCACACTAAAAATTTAAGTATTAGTTTTAGAAATTTTTAAGTTTATGCAGTCATATTTAACATCATACATTAATAAAATTTTATTCATCCACCATTTAAACATCCAATTTATTTAAAAATTGAATATACAAAAGTATAAAATTAAATAAGCCAAACCAATTTTTCTTTATTACTACTCAGGGAACATAAATGTCTATATTTTTAAAAAACAAACAAACAAACAAACCAGATGGAGAAATAGCTCAACGAGTACCTGCTGCTTTTTCACACAACCCAGGTTCAGTTCCCAGCACCCACATGGCAGCTCACAACCCTCTGTAACTCCAGTTTCAGAGGATCCAAAGATCTCTTTTAACCTCCACAGGTACAAAACATGCATGTGGTACACATAATACATGTGGCCAAAAACTCATACACATAAAATAAAATTTAAAAAAATTAACATTCTAAATTTAGCTTCTAAAACTGAGCTTCATGCTTACAATAATTCATCTCAAAATACTCTTACCTTTCTTCTGAGCTATATAAACGAGCAAGTCCAAAATCTGCAAGCTTTATTTGTCCTCTGGTAGAAATAAGATAAGGTAAAAAAGCATTAGTCTATCATGAATCTGATAATGAATACACACACACACACACACACACACACACAATTCCTAGTGCTCAATTAAGACACACTAAACAAACATAAACAAATTCTCTCACTGAACTGCTGTACTACAAACAACGTTAACTAGTGGAAAATATACAACGCAAATTTACATAGTAACAAGTAGCATATTGCTTTGGATAGTTACTTTTTGTTGTTGTTATACACCCATTCAATCATCCATAGCTACAAGTTCTTAATTTTCAGATTCAACCAGTTGTAGATCAAAACTATTGGAGGGACTATCTTTTCCTAAAGATGTACAATCATGTGTGCTAATATTTCCTAAAAAACCAGTGTACCAGCTATTTACAAAGCATTTATATTTTTAATCTAGACAAATACTACCTTATTTTATGAAGGGCCTAATGATCCTATAAAAGGATACGGTGTTAAGAGTACTCTTAGAAACAACCCCAAAGGGGCCCAACACACTACCATTATTTCAGTGGCACTAGTGTGACAGTATCTCAGGTGCTGCTTCAGTTTAAGGAAGTACCTCAGTGTTGCATAGGCAGAGTTCTTATTCAAGTAGACAGCACTCAAGAACTAAGTCACAGTGTCTGAAATTTATACTTAAGCTGACTGTTGTTCATTACCCCAAAAAATCTGGTGCAATAAAAATGAATTTTATAGGAAATTATATATTGCATTAACACTTTAAACACATAAAGCTCATAGTCATACCTATTATTTAGAAGGATATTTGAACATTTAATATCTCTATGCAAAAAGTTCTTCTTATGACAATAATCCAGGCCTTCCATGAGCTGTCTCATAAAAGATTTTATATGATTTTCATTAAAATGAACCAAGCCTGATTCCAGTAGTCCCATCAGATCATGGTCCATATATTCAAATACCAGGTAAAATGCACCTGAGAAAGAGAACAATTAATATATTAAAGACTTCTATTCCTACAATCTAGATACTCAAAATTTTCAATAAAATATTGGTATGGGGGATTATCCTTGAAAATAATACTTTGTCATGCATTTATAAAACTTGTTTACTCTCTCAGTACTAAGTATCAAAAATATCTCAAAAGACAGTAAAAGTAATTTCTTCTAAAGATATTCATTATAATACAGGTCAATTCTATTCATTTCCACATTTTATAGTTTCGATCTGATTAAATTCTGACCAATATCAGACAAATTGTTTTTCAGTAGAAAGTGAATAAAATCTGTATGCTTCAAAGAAAATCTAAAAGTTTAGAGAACTGGTTTTAATATAAGGATGTGAACCCAAACAGACCAAAGTCATCTTTAGATGGCATCTATTAAACTTTCAACAGACACATAATTTGTTTAGAAGACAAGTGTTTAATGTTTAAAAATCTTAAATAAAACGTATACAAACTGAACCCAAAGCTATACAAACAAATAGTACAATCAAGTAAAGCTTTACAGAGCAAGTTCCAGGAAAGCCACACTATACAGAGGAACCCTGTCCTGAAAAACAAAACCCAACCAACCAAACAAAAACCCTAACAAACTCATGCCATCCTCTGTGAAAAGAGGAAAATAGCACCATGCCAAAGACACCCACAGTTCACAATCCGCTCCTAACTCTAAACAGAGCAAAGAACTCTCAAAACTAATGCAATCTAAGGAAACTCTCTAAAAACTTATAGTGCCTCCGTAAAGAAAATAATCAGAGCACATTTAATAGGAAAATGCTAGGCATTTTAAGATAAAATCGTCATGGTTACTAATTCTGTGTAGACCAAGTTATATTTAGAAGAAAAATATCATTACAGCTGAAAATTTAAAAGAATACAGAGGAAGTCACTGGATTAGAGGGGGAAAAAAAGCAAGATCATACACACAACCACAATTCATTAAAAGTAGGCTTTAATTTTAATTAAGAGTTGGGGAGATAAATCAATGGCTAAGAGTGTTTGTTGCACAAACCTGAAAACCAGAGTTCAACTTTCCAGCACCCATGTAGCAAAAGCTGGATGTGGCTGTGAGGGTTTTTATAAGGTTTTTATAATCTGTGTTGGGGGTGAAGAGAGGTAGGTTCTGAATACTCACTGGCTACCCAGCCTACCCGAAAAGGCAAGCATCAGGTTCAATAAGAGAACCTAACTCAAGGGAGTAATTACATGGATACAGCAGGATCTCCTTCTTCCTCCAGTTTCCACATAAGCACATCTAGGCACATGCATCCTTGCATGCACGCACACAAACACATGAATACACTACACACTCTCACAAACAAAAAGTTTTTAATGATATAATAACAGAAAAACACAAATGACTAGAACTAAATTGTAACAAGAATTAAACATCAAAATAGAAAAATCTAAGCCGGGTGGTGGTATATGCCTTTAATCCCAGCACTAGGATCTCTGTGAGTTCAAGGCCAGCCTAGTCTACAAAGCTGGCTTCAGGACAGCCAGAGCTGTTACATAAAGAAACCCTGTCACAAGACAGACAGACAGACAGACAGACAGACAGACAGACAGGTGGAAGGAAGGAAGGAAGGAAGGAATGAAGGAAGGAAGGCAGGCAGGCAGGCAGGCAGACAGACAAAGGAGACAGAGAGACAGACAGACAGAAAGAGGAGAGAGAGACACAGAGAAAGAGAGAAATCTATAATGTAATTTCAATAAAAGGACTGATGGTTACGTTTTAGTCTTTTGGCTGGAGGAAAAGGGGTGAGTACTTGAAAAAACCTGTAAAATTCACCTTGAAAAAACTGTATCAGATTATTGATCAAACACTGTTGAAAATACACTTTGCCATATAAGAAAGGAATATGCCCTGTACATGCTTAGAGAAAGACAGAACAGTGTAATAAATAAAATACACACCAGAAAACAGATTACAAATGCTTGGCCAATACTTAAGGAAGCAGGAATTTGAATTCTAAAAAAGTAAAAGATGACCAAAAAAAACTCACTTAGATAAAATTATAACCCACAGGGAGATAAGTAGTTATATCAAAGACAAACTAATGAAAATGTAACTAACAGATTCCTCTAAATGATGATTTAGGAATGCCACTGGACGACAATAGAGAACCAATAGGGAAAATAACAACTAGGGAAATATTTTCTGCAATGTAACAAAGCAAACATCTTTACTATAAAAGAAGGCCTTATAAGCCAGTACAAAAGAAACTCAGCCCATAGAACAAGGTGAGAAATAAAACAGATGATCAGATGGACACAATGGTGTATGTCTGTAATCCTAGCATTTTGGAAGCAGGAGAAAAACCAGAAGGTCAAAATCATCCCCAGCTCTGTATTAGGCTAAAGTAGAGCCTCCAATATTCAAAGAATGTCTGTGCCTAAAGCAACATTAAATATACTTTTTAAGTATGAAATGTGCACCAAGTTTCTATTACTTAATATCTCAGTAAAATGCTACACAACTAGGCATGGTATACAGGCATTCAATATACACAAGAATCTCAAATGCAAGGACAAACTTCTTTATATAGCACGACTTAGCTCAGAAAAATTCAATACTAGTAATAAATAATGACAATGGACTAGAGGTGACTCAATGGTTAAAAGTCCTTGTTGCTTTTGCAGAAGACCTGAGTTCAATTCCTAGAACCCCTTATCAAGCGGCTCAAAGCTACCTGTAATTATAGCTCTAGGGGATACATTCTCTTCTGGCTTCCATGAGCATCCATCCACATGCACATACACAGGCATGCACGCACACACAAATAAAAACAAATCCTTTAATGATCACATATATTAAATTGATTATGCACTGAAATAACCTAAGACAACTTAGCAGACACTAGGTTAAAAATTATTAAAATTAGCAGGGTGGTGGAAGCACACACCTTTAGTCCCAGCACTCAGGAGGCAGAGGCAGGCAGATCTCTAAGTTCAAGGCCAGTCTAGTCTATAAAGTGACTTCCCAGACAGCCAGGGCTACTCAAAGAAACCCTGTCTCAAATAACAAAAAATTATTAAAATTGATTTAATTTCATCTGTCTCATTCTGAAACAAAATTACTAGATAACATTTCATTTTGAAATAAAAAGCTTCCCATTCTATTTCTGTCAAGTAGCAATAAATGAGAGAACCAAGAACCAGAACAAGACAAAATGATATTCTGCTTCCAGAAACCATAAAATTCAATGGAAAATTACCAGAAACAGTAAAAATTCAGGAAAAGAGTATAACATATAATAGTCACTAATATTGGCTATCAATTAAAAGATAAACTAGAACCTACTGATACAGCTAATTAAATTGAAAGAAAAAACTAAATATGCAAAATTTTAAAAATTTCTTTGTAAGATAGAATACACAGGCAAGAGTGTGCAAAAGAATAAAAATGCCAATCTTCCCAAATTAATTTGTAAATTATGCAAAAGCCCAATTTCTAAAATTATTAGTGTTGTGCTTTAAATGATAACATGCCCCGTAGGTTCATGTACTTGAACAACTGATGTCAAGTTAATAGTACTGTTTGGGAAGGCTATGGAATCTTTAAGAGGTGATCTTGCTGAAGTAAGAACAATGAAGGCAGGCTTTGAGGCTTATAGCCTGGCCTTACTTACCTCTGATTCCCTCTTACTACTTCCAGTGTATGGATGAAATGGGATCACTCTGCTTCCTGACTGCTATGCCATACGCTTTTCCTGCCATGTTGGACCAAATCCCCTGAGGAACTGTAAGCCAAAATAAATTCTTTTCCCCTAACTTGTATTTCATCAGGGTATTTTTATCACAGCAAGAAAAGTAACAAATGCAAAATGCAATGAGTTAAAAAAAATCCCCTACAATGTAGATCATACAAAAAAAAAAAAAAGAGAGAGAAAAGCAAAAGCTTCTGAAAGAGGAAAGAGATAAATAAACAATGGTTCTACATCCAATTTTAAAAAGTTTTTTAAATTATAATGTAAATTATTTCTGTAAAGACCAAGTGTGATTCAGGAAATCAAAAAACAGATTCCAACTGCACACTGAATTTTTACGTAGGATAGCCTGTAGGATTAGCAGATGACTCAGGCGACAGGCAGGCATGAAAACCTGACTCCAGATCCTCAGCACCATGTAAAACTCAGGCAAAGCAGCACATGATTGTAATACCAGTGTTGGGAAGGTAGATCCCTATAGTTCACTGGTCAGTGAGACTGACTACAAGAGAAATCCAGTCTCAAAACTAACTAAAGTAGAGAGCAAATAAGAAAACATCCAATTTAAGAAGGAAGAAGGGAGGGAGAAGGGGGGGAGGGAACAGTTGATAGTGACCTCAAACTTCTACACGCACTTAATACACCTAACAAAAACAGGTACCTACACCTCACATACAGTCACCCACCCACCCTACAGAAGCAAAGGAAAAGAGGAAGATAGACAATATAAAAAGGTATTTAACTCAGTAGGATGGTCTTCTTAGCAAGCAGTGGTAGGATAACTGAATACTCAGATATAATGAGGTAAAAATATTCTGTCCTAATGACAGCCACCAATATAAAAAGCAAATAAACCGATTACAGAACTAAGAAATGAAAACAGAAGCATTTGTTGAAAATAATTTATGTTGAAAGTAGGGGAAAACACTCAAAAAAAAAGGAGAAAGAAAAGAAAAAGGAAACAGGAAGAAAACAAAAATAACTGTGATTACTATCTCTAACAACGACAACAAAAAAGGCATATATAATCTCTCAACTAACCAATGAGAAATATTCACGGGGGCTGAAAAGATGGCTCAGTAGGTAAGGTACTTGCCAAGCAAGCCCAGACACCAGCGGTGGATCTCCAGAACCCACAAAAAGGTAAAATGATAAATTCTACCAAGTTGTCCTCTGATCAATGTGCAACATAGTTATGTAACCCCCATACACATATCATGTATGCATTGTATTGTATTGTACATGTATTACATACAATGGTAA